TGTATGCTATTCATTATGTCAGTGATAGTAATTGAATAATTTGTCAGGTTCCTCAAAAAAGAAAAAAAAGAAGGGAAACCTGAAGTGATATAAAATTGAAGCAGTGAAAAAATATATAATTAAGCCTACAGGAAAAGATAGCAATTGAAATAGTGGATGATGAAAATTTGATTTATCCTGCCGGTTAAACTTGGCTGGGATGAAATAAAATAATCAGAAAATTTATTTTACAATCATTTGTTCTATTTTTCTATTTTCATTTAAATGATTAAATTATACACTATTTAATATAATGATTTTAATTTAAATTATTTAATTCAATTTCCTAATGATACTTTATAAGCTAGAATCTGTAGAGAAAAAAAGCTTCAAATATTTTCATTGATATTATTTGCTATTTTAATGAAAATAATTTTTTACTACTGATTAATTGTGATAGTTTGTCATTTGATTATAATTAAAATTTTAATTTTCAATCAATTAAGTCTAGTTTTTTTTTTTTTTTTATTTTCTATTTTAATAAATTATTATCCTCTTATTTCTCAAACAATAAAAATTATATTGTTAATGTTACGTTACTTAATCGTGTTTCCTATGTAACAATAAATTATATCATCAATGAGATCAAATCTTTTCTGTTTCATTTTATCAAACTTTTAAACTAAAAATAAAGAAAAGAAAAAATAATTTAGTAAAAATAATGTAAATAATAACATCAAATTGTGAAAAAGTTTGATGAATATCAATATGTATAATTAATAAGATTACTCTGTCAATTCTGTTGATCTTATATTGCTTATTCATTATCTATTTGTCATTTTTATTTCACTAAAACCTTTTTTATTCTTAAAATTTTCTTCATGCTTCTTTTTTAATGCTAATTATATTGATTAAATGACTCAAAAAAAATTTTCATGCAAAATATATACACATTCAGCGTGTTTTTTTTCTTCCCTAGCAATAATTTTAACAGCAAATAAAACTTTATTTCTTAGAAAATAATCGATGATTTTATTTTCAAAAATATTTGTAATTATTTCAATTAAATTCAAAAATTTTTCCATTTTATTTCATGAAGGTAAAGGTTTTAGTCTTTCACTTCTGTCTCATAAAGTTTCTTTATTATGGAAAGGAAATGGTATAACATTCAATTTCTGTTCCATTTTTTTTTTCTTTTTCATATTTGAATAAAAAGCCAAGAAAATTTCATTTTTCCTAAAATTCATGATAATTCAGAAAAATTTCTCTTTCATTCCATAAAATTTTGGTATTCAAACTTGCTTTTCCTTCATTTTTGGTTTTTTTTTTTTTCTTTTTATTGAATATATTTTCTACATCATAAATCATTTTAAAATTCAATTTAGCAAATATTTAAGCATTTCTAAACATTTCTTTCATATAATTAATACTTATGATTAAAGGATTTTATATTTTGTTCGGAAAAGAAAGTATCACAAAGAGCAAAGGATAAATAAATTGAAAAACCTCGTATGTAAATGAATACTGTCATATAATATAGGAAATCAAATTCATAAAGAAACAATCTTATGACGCAAACAATAAAATAATGTTGCAAATTAAATTGAAAAAATTGTGAAGTTATTAAAAATTGGTCAAATTTTTATGCATATATTAAATATTAATTATATTCACATTTATAAGAAAACTTTCCTCTTTCTTTTTTTGATTTATTGCAGAAATTATTTAACAATATATTTCATCTTTCTTTTTTCTAAAAAAAAATGAAAAATTAATACGTATATTCATATGTTATTATTATTTCTAAAAGAATGAAGTCATAATTATTACATTATTTATCTTACTGCTGTATGAATGTTATTATTGTTTTATTTTTAAAGGAAAGATTAGTATCAAATTATAACAAGTTAAATCCTACCTGATTAAATTGCAAGCAATAATGGATTATTCATTAAGATGGATTCTTTTCATACTTCTTCCAGAAGTAACACAATGTTATATCAAGGTTTTACCAGGTAAAATAATAGTTATGGTCAATCAAATAAGCATAACTAACTGATATTATTCATTTATATGCATCAAACAAGTTATTCTTTTAAATGATCAATTTAAAAAATTTAAGTTATCAAAAAAAATTGCATTCTGGATTTTTGCAAACAGTTATGAAAGTAAAGAAGGGCAAATCAGTATGCCAATTTTTTTTTTTTTTTTTTTGAAAAATTTTAAAATGAAATTAGTTTTTAAATTAAAATATATCAGTTTTTGAGTAAAATACGAAATTGTATCCTCATTCCCGAATGATACTAATGAAATATTACAGGCTTTACATTTGAACAATTAAACGGCAAAGGAAAGATGTGGGTTGGTCCACCAATGATTCCGCCATTTTGCTATCCACCAGTAGCACCAGCAGCACCAGCAGCACCGGCAGCACCAGCAGCACCGGCACCAGCAGCACCAGCACCAGCTGTACCAGCAGCACCAGCACCAGCAGCACCAGTGGAGCCAGCGGCACCAGCGGCACCAGCGGCACCAGCAGCACCAATGCAAACAAAATCTCTTTGGTGGTGTCCACCTATGTATCAAAAACCACCCAGCCAATATCCTATGGTGCCACAACCTCCTCAATATCCTCAACTTCCACAATACACTCAGCCTCCACAATATCCTCAAGCTCCACAATATCCTCAAGCTCCACAATATCCTCAAGCTCCACAATATCCTCAAGCTCCACAATATCCTCAAGCTCCACAATATCCTCAAGTTCCACAATATCCTCAACCTCCACAATACCAACCTCCGCAATACCAACCTCCGCAATATCCCAAAGCTTCAAAATATCCGCAGTATCCAACTGCTGGTGCAGGAATGGTAGGATCATCTTTATATGGAATATATGAAGAAGATTCTGATCAAAGTTTAACTGATTTTGAGCAATATCAAATGAGTTTCACTTAAAAGCAGAAATAGACTTCTTACGTTACTGTATCCAGATATTTTATGCATATTTCTATGTCTTGTATGATAAATCTGAATAATTATATGTATTTCTGATGATTTATAAATGGATTATTTGTCTTCCTTCATGTTGATGGTTAAAAGAATTAAGTTAAAAGACTTCAAAACAATCAAGCTTATATTTTATCAAATAGGTACAATTGATGATAAACTTCATTCATACACTTAATCAACTTTTTTTCTTTTAATTATTTGTTATTGTAAGTTTGAAGATTTCTATATAATAAAATAATTTGAAATACATTACTAATTATCATAACAGAAAAAAAAATAGTATCTATAATAATGGATAACAGATAAGATTGTTAGTGACAAATCTGAGAGAAATAATGTTCATAAATAAATTAAAAAAATGAAAGTGATCCGATCAATTCCATCTGATCGCTTTTTGTTTCTCACTAAATAATATTCTTTTAAGTGAATTTTTTGCACTTCAAACATTAAAATTTCCATAATTAGAGTAAAAGTTAATTGCTCAAAAAACTTCAGTCAGAGTTTGCTCTTTATTCATCAAATTTTAAAAACTTTATAATTAAACACTGTAATTCGCTAAAAGTTATATAAATTTTTATCAAAAACGAAGCAAAAAAGTAGGAAAAATATAGAGAAACAAATTGAAATATTAATATAATGATGAAAAATTAGAAACAAAACTTTGATATTGAATAATTTTAATCGCTTTATTAATAATCCAATTTTCTTTTTTTTTTTTTTTTTTTGTTTGAATCTTATGACAGCAGCATTAATTAATGGATAAATTAAGAGAAATGATATAAGATAATATAATAGTGGAAGAATTTGTTTAGATTGGTAGTGTATACTATCTAAAATGAATGTTTGTAAGATTTACTAGACGGTCAACTATTACTGGTAAATTTATAGGATAATTGCTGTTATTATATCTTCCCAATGTCATATTTTAAAATGCAATGACATTGCGCATTCAGTCTTACGGTAGGTAACATTTATGCAGAATAGTACGTTGCTGATTGGATCATATTATATATACACTGCATTGGTTATTTTATTATCAACCACCAATGGTTGTTTACGAAAACAAAACGATTGTTTGTATTCATTGGTGTAATTTAATGTCATTCGATTTTTAACTAATTAAAGCGACAAAAAATAAAGAAATAAAGGATCTAAAAAAAAAAAAAAGAAAACAATTAATCAAGCTAAAAAAAAAATAATACAAATAATTTAAAAAAAAAAAAAAAAAAGTACCATTAAAAATTCAAACAAATTTAACATGTTTTTGTTATTTTAAAATATTAAATTTAATGATTCATCTCTCTTATTCTAAAAATTTCTAGGAAAAGCTAAAAAATTTGCATATACTGGGAAAGAAAACAGGGATCAGATCAGTACTGGTCAAGTAACTTATACATCCAACAAATTTATTATGGATTAATATAGGTATCATTAAGGTCGTAATAAAAATTTCATTTTTTTTTTTTATTTTGTTGTTTTAAGTATAAATGACTAATTAATGAAAATTTTATTTTTTTTAGCATATTTTATTTACAGACTATTTTGACAAAATCCCATTTCATTTTATTAATTTTGATTATTGTTTTTTTCACTTGTTTTTTCTTTTCTGATCCTCTTTCTTGAAATAAATTATACAGCAATTTAATGTAAGAAATCGGATTTTAAACGTTGTACAACAATTTTGCAGACCTTTTATCAATGCAATCATAGTTGATATTTTTGGAATTATAATTATTTAGAAGCTAACTGTCACATACATTTTTAATATTTGATAGCACATTAAAATTTAACTCTAAAAATTTCTCAAATTTTTTCCCTTTTTTTGAATGTAGTTTGTTTTTTTAAGATAGTTTCGTTATTTTTTTCTTTTCTTTTTTTTTTTTTTTTTTTTGTGCTTAGAGATAAGTGATGCATTCATGAGTCATACACTATGACCAATAGTTCTTGTCAATTTAAATAGTTTACTTATTTTCATAAGTCAGTGTCATCCTAGGCTGTCGTGGATAGCAATGGTCAATACAAATTATCACCGTTCTTCTAGTCGATATCCTCAGCAATCATCAATTTCAACCACTGATCCATCATCAATAACAACAACAATAATATTGTCTAAATTTACCGGAAATACCTTTATGCAACAATCATCTTCATTTTCTACAGGTCATTCATTCATTTCATTCATCTTTCTTTAGCTTTTTTAAGTTAAAAATTTGCAACAAAAGAAAAAAAAAAAAGAAACTATGATTAAAATTTATCATACTGATTATTTATTTAATGAATTTATATAAAATCTGATATTTTATCGTGTTCAAATATCATTAAACAATCTGATTTAAACTTGTTTTGACTTTATCCTGATATATCCATATCAAATTATATTTCATTGTTATCAAATAAATTACAATCAACGATAATTATTTAATGCTGAAAAAAAAAAAAAAAAAAAAGCAAAATTAATGATTCATTACAACATAAATAATAGTCCATTTTAAAATACAATAGAAATATTTAATAATCCCACCAAATTTTAACATTTAAATCAAATTATTTGTTGAGATTTTATGCTATTATTGAGGTCATTCAAAAAAAAAAAGTGTTTACAAATAACTTATATGCATATGATGTAAGTGGAGGTAAACAATAATTAGGAATAAAAAATAGGATGAGAGAAGAATGATGAAAAAGAATGAAAGAAAGAGAAAGAAAATTATAATTATATTAGTTTTAAAATAAATGTATTTTGACAAATCATGTTTTGTTTACGTTTCATCATTTATTTTAACAAATAATAGAGTAACTTTTGCTAAATATACAATAGTCATTAATCATTAAAAGTTTGATGAAAAAGAGAGAAAAAAGAAATGATAAATTGAAAAATAACCAAAGTCAAATAAATTTTAAATGGATTAAAAGATTGAAATTGACAAAATAGGATGAATGCTTTTTGTAGGAAAAATTTTCAGGAAATTTTTACACAAATTTTCATTATTATCATTATTATTATCATTATAAGTACTATTGTAATCACTAACATAATCAGTGTCATAATAATTATTATCAATTGATCAATTCCGCTTTTTTTTCTCCCTCTTAAATATTTTTAATGATTATTAATTACTAGTAGGTCTGATTCATCATCAAGATTACATTAAACGTTTTTTTTTTTTTTCATTTTGTATTTTCAAAAGAAAAAAAAAATTTCTAAAATTAGTAGACTAAGGTTTATAATCTAATCCATAATAATAATAAATAAATAAATAAAAGAATGTATGCATACTGCTATGACCATATATTTTTATTTCTGATTAGAGAACTTATCACCTTAACAAAACTTATAACTGAAAATTTTAATATTGAAAAAAAAAAAACGAATTTTAGCAAAAATTTCCGTTTTTTTTTTACATGAATGAAAAAGAGAAAAGTTTCACAGTCCCATATTTGACATCCTTGAGTCATCTGACAAACAAGTGATTATGTTTATAAACAACTTTCGCAATGTTGGCTTTTATTTTTTTTTTCTTTCACCATTTGACAAATCTTATATCCAGATTACTTCAAATTTTATCACCTACTTAAATTTGTCATCCTGTCTTGCTATGCTTCATCATTCCACAACAATCACACAAAAAAAAAAAAAAAAAAAAAAAAAGGAGTGAAATCCATATTACAAAATTCATAGCAGAAAAAAGCTTAAAATAAATTAAAAAAAAAGTAAAAACTTACAAATTATCTTTTATTTCCAATAAAAAATTCTTTATGGTTTATGTTGTACAATAAAAATTTTAATTTCTTAATCTTTTTCTAAAAAAAAAAATTTTCATAAATATTGTATTATGCCTTGTGTCATTATTATTATTATTATTACTGATTATTACTTACTACTAATTTTACTGTTATTATTATTTCAAATATATTCAAATCAGTCATACGAACAATTTAATAAGTCTCAAATTTTAGTTAAATTTAAGATGCTTGATTAAGTAATTCGATACCTATTGGTTTAGGTTACATATTGTTGATACATGGATGCCCATGAATTTATGACTTCCTGTATCGGAACAACTGATACATGTCCCAACAATATTTATGCATTCCTTACTCTTGTCTTTTATCGTTGTTCTGTTTGTTCGTCCTTGTCTGTCTTTTGTCACATTTATGCAAAACATCGTAATTTCAACAATACACGCCATTTGCAAAGAGCATTTCGGTAGATGAAGGTAGTCAAAGTAACTTACTAGTAGTAATATATCACTGTTCTTCTTTGTATCAAAACAAATAAATAATCTAGTGAATAAGTAAGCAAGTAAGTAAAAATAGCAACAAAAATAATTGTAAATTATAACAAACAATAATGAATAATACTGATAACTTAATAATACCAATAGGTGTAATAGTAGTGGTAGTGTTAATCGTTATCGTAGATATTATTATTATTATTAGTAGTAGCGTAGATATTATTATATATATTATTAGTAATAGTAGTACCCACTTTTAACATCTTTTTATGCAAAATAATATATTGCGCGCACATTCTCAATTATTACTACAATGAAACATTGCGCACGCTTCATGCAAAACTATTTTTCGATAGATGGATAATACCAGCTCAATATAAAATATCAATTTATTCTCATTTAATTATTTCAGTACTTGATATCTTTCATTTATTCAAACTTTACCATAATTATTCTTGGTTGTTTCACTTAATTCCCTACTTTTTGCATAACTTCTTGTTTATAATCTTATCTTTTTTTTTTTTTCTTTTCATTTTTTCATTTAATTTTATTCTTTATTTATTTATTTTTTGCTTTTTGCAATATTTTAATGTTTAACATTTTTTTTTCTCTACAATTTAATTAAGACTGTATGCAATTTGATTTCAAATTTTATGGTTAGTAAAATTTTTTCTACTTAAAATATTTTAAATTCAAATCATAAATATCATCATTTCACTCTAATTCTATTCATCAATTTTATTTATTACTAACTATATACTACCTTTATCTGATTAATTTCACTCTGTTATAACTGAAAAGCTTTTGTAGTATTACTACATTTGTTAGGAAAAAAGTTTTTTTCGCACTCTAATATTTACTTTCTCTTTCTCTTTTTTTTTTTTTTTTTTTTTGCGAGATAAATGAAAAAGCATTAAGGCTTATAATATAAAGCTTAACAATCAAAAAATAATGAAATTTAATTCTCCAATAGCTTTTGAAATTTGCGCAAATAAATTTGCTTATTTTCTATCAATATTAGTAATAATGAATATAATAATAAAAATAAATTCGCTAACTATTATCATTATTATCCCAAAAAATTTTCCTTCCATATAATAATATCATTTATCTTTTAAAAATATACTAGCATTTATCTTACCCAAAATAAATTACATTATATTTCAATGATTTTTTTTTTCTTTTTTGCTCATAAAATATAATTTAATTATGAATAATCTTTGCAATTTTTTAACAATATAAACAATTAAATGTTAAAATAAAATTTTTTTTTGCATAATAATTAATATTTGAATATTGTAAAGGAAAAAGAGGGGAAAGGTGAGGTGGGGTAAGGTGAAGACTGTTTGGGTGGCATAATTTGAAAAATTTTACCTTTTATCTTGTAGCCTTCATTTCTTGTCATTTTTTCCGGACAGAACAGACGTTTGTGTATCGTTTATGAACCGAGACTGATCACTTTTTGAGCACTTTATTGCGATCATTCATCGTTCTTTCTCTTATTTGTTCACTCTTATTTAAAAAAGAAAAAAAAAATGATGAAAAGAAAAATTTATCCATCATTTTTTCTACTTTGAAATCATTATGATATATCGCCACTATCAAAAATCATTTATACCATATCTACCAGTTTTAATGATTGCTCTTTTAAACACTGATAAGTGATGTGTATTATTATTATTACTATTATTGTTATTAAAGTTATGCAACTAATTTAATTTAAAAAAAAAAAAAGTAAAAGACGAGATTTTATTTCTTATAATTAATTGACATATCTTTTACATTACATTTAATAACTCTAAATGTGTGAAGATGATAATTTCTATGATTTAGCATTATTCTTTTTTTCAAATTTTGTTTATTCTTTTTTTTTTTTTCCTCGATGTATAATAAATCATTTCACATTAAATTGTATGAAGGATAATGCTAAATGATTGAAATCCAAAAAAATTTTTTAAGCATCATATATTACTTAATGCAAAATATTAATTCTTATTAATTTTGATACTAAAAAAAAAAAATTTTTTTTTTCAACATATTAAATAATAAAAATTCAAATTTTTTATTTTTTTTGAAGAAAAATATGCAAATTTTTTTAAAATTATGTCAAATTTTTTGAACAACAAGGAAAAAAGGAATAAATGGAAAAGTAGTTGATAGTCAGATAAAATTCATGAAACAAATATTTTTTTCTTAGCTTCTTTCTCTCTTTATTATTCCCTCTCTCTCTCTCTCTCTTCTTACTATTTTTTTTTTTTTTTTTTTACACTTCTCTCTTTTATAATAAGCCAAAGTCTATTGATAGTGATATACCATTGCTTGAAATGGAGAAACACCAGGTGCTTGCATTTTTTTTTTTCCATGCAAAAATTCAGCTCAAGAAATGCATTCGATACATTATAATTAGAAATTGCTGGATCACAACCACAGTTTGATCGGTTTATTTGCACCTATCTACTTGTACAGCTCACTACAGTTCAGTTCAATTTAATTCAGTTCATTTTACTTCATTATAGTTCATTACAGCTAACTTTTGCAATTTAAATTTAGTTTTAGTCCATTTCAGTTCAGTTAGAATCACTTAAGTTCAGTAAATTTAATTTAATTAACTCCACTTCACTACAGTTCACTTCAATTCAAATATATTCATCTATATTTTTGTTTCTTTAAGTTTAATTTGTGTGGTAATTTTTTTCCTTACTCTTTTCTTTCTTAAAAAAAGAGAAAAATTACTTTTTTTTTTCAGAAAAAATTTTATCAACAATTAAATTTTCCTCTCAAAATGATCACTTTTTTTTTTTACTCGAATTTACATTATTTATTGATGGAAATTTTTTCTTGCACAATTTTATAAACTTTATTAGAATTTCAATTTTTGCATAGTTGAAATTTTTTGTAACACATTTTTTTATTAAAACTTTTTATGGATAATTATGAACATTTTTTGGATAATAACACAAATAAATAATTTGAAATATATAATTTTATACCATGCTTATTTTTTAATACATAATTAATTATCATTTCTTATTATAAGGCTTTTCCGGAAATAAATAAAAGAACTAAATAGATAATTACATATTGTATATTTATAAAACAATTTGTATTTCTTACTATTACAATATATTTGTTTGAGCTATTTTTCATCATTCTTACAGTCAATTTCTCTTTCTCTCTCCCTCCTTTTTTTTTTTAATTTCAGGTATAAGTGCTCCGTTATTATTTGATAATGTAGACACATTCCACTTTTTAAATACAAAATATGTAGAACACGGATAATGACAATTTCTGTTTGTCACAATAAATAAACATCATTCACCTTGATGTTTATTGACTTTCACCGAATCTGTTTCATCATTCCGGATATTAGTTTGGATTAATTTAAAATAGATATTTCATTATCAAATGTTTTTAATTTTTTCCTTTTTTTAAATAAAGAAATATATTTTATAATTCATTTTAGAATTACAAAATAAGCGTGATAGTTCGAATGTGTTAAATTTCGTTACGGATGCAGTGAAATTGTGGGAATCGGAATTTTCCGGTACATATTCATTATCAAATAAGTCAGCCAAATTGTCGCACCAGCAGTATCGTTCATGTGAACGGCATAATAAGCCGAATATAAATTTTGAAAATCGTTGCTTTACATGCATTGTAGCGGTGGCACTACGTGTACTGCAAACTACTTTATTTACGTTACTTCAATTAATTGGATTACCAGTATTAGTGAGTATGTTTTTGTTTTTTTTTTTTGTTTTTATTTACTATTTTTAAATTTCATTTAAATGAAAAAAAATTAATCTTTTGCATTTTTATTGAATTAAAAATTATTATAAAAACGTTATATTTTATATAATTCAGCGTTTTGATTCAAGTATGAAATTTTTTTAAATGGTTTCACATGTAAATTCAGCTTTAAAATTTTAGTACAATAAATATTGAAATAAAAATAAAAAATTAAATATATTAAAATCTGAAACAGAAAAAAAAGATGATTAGGCTTAATGAAAATTGTAATATTAAAAATATGACATAGTACATAATTTGACGACATCTATTGAATCTATGCTAATAAATAATATAAAATAAGTGTGTATTTCATGACATTAAAATTTTTCAAATTTCAAATTTTAATTAATAAGAAACTTTTCAACACAAGTAATTAATAAAACAATGGGAGGAATACAAGCAAACATACACAACAATACTAATATATATATATAACAAAGGTCATTTATATTAGAATATTTCATATTTACAATGAAACTATTTGAAACAAATTAGCATATTTGTTATTAGACATGATTTTGCTTGGGTAAACTTTGGGAAAAATTTTCCCATCTTTCTGTAATATTATCCTTTTATCATTTTGTTCCTTTCCCATCTCCCCCCTTCTTTTTTACTTGTAATTTCATCAAACATTTTAATTGAAATTAATTTTTTTCCTTTTTTGCAGCGTTAAATTCGAGTTATTCAGTAAATGATAAAAGATTGGACAGATCAAAGTACTGTCAAAAAAAATATGTGTGCATATCCTTTAAAATTTTTTGGGCAAATCATAAAAATGCTATCAAATCGATCAAAAGGAATTAAATCAGACTAAATCCTAATTAAAATATTATGTAAATAAAATTAAGCTTAATGCTTTAAATATGAAGAACATGAATAATTATATCTTCACCTATAACCTCAGATCATCAAAACAAAATGCCATATCGAAATAATCAAACAAATCTGCTGATGACAAGTGCTATGACAAATTTTTGAAATCCAATTTAGGCATATTAATTGAAAGCAAAAATTTGCATTTTATAATAAAGCGATATTACACATGTATAATTAATTTCTTCCCAATAATTACTGTATTTCATTCTTCACTTATTCATGAAAATATTATTTGAGTGGACATTAAATTGCATTACTATTTGCTTAATATGAATAGAATTGAAAATATTTTAAAATAATTTTGGGAAATTATATCTAATATAATTAAAAAAGTATGGCTAACTATTCTTTGCACTGAGTGCAATTTTTCAAATTTGTTTAAAAAAATTACATAAATCTAAGTTATTAAAACTATTGAGCTTTCATTTCGTTTTTCATTATAGGGAAATTCATAGTGAGAATGTTTGAATTACAGTGTGAAATTTATATCACAAATAATTTTTCTTTCTTTTTCTTTTATGTATGAGTTCATTGATAAAATACTTTATCATAATATTTGGAAGAATTGAAAAAAAAAAAAAATGTAGTCATCTGTTTTTTAAATTTTAATTCCTTTTGTTCCTTAAAAGAATATATTATATTTATAAAAAAAATTTCATTTTTTTCCCATCATCTTATAAAATAGAAAATTTTCAATTTTCTTCTTTTTTCATTTTTTTTGAATCATTGTTTATTCATTTTGTTTATTTGTAAATAAGATTAGTTATATGAACGTTTATTATTTAAAATGAATAGCAATTTTTTATGAAAAAATTAAAATAATTTAAATTTGAGAAAATGAATTCTTATGATTTAAAGAGGTAATAATGTAATGCTTCTAAAAGCAAATGCAGATGTTTTGAAAAATAACATCAATCTTCATCTTATAATTATGCGGAAATGTCTACATTTACTATTATACTGTTGATGCTTTTAGCAGGTGTTTCGTATTTTCTTTGCAAAAGAAAAAAATTGAACATTAAAAATTTCTTTTTTAAATAACAAGTAAAAAAGAGTTGCATTATCAAAAAAAGAGAAAAAATGGAATATTCGTTTTTTTTTTTTTTCTTTACTATTAAAAGATTTTTTGCCATAAATTAGGCTTAATTAATGCAAGACAGCAAGTGAAAGGATAACATTTTCATTTTTCGTTCTTTCTAATAAGTTAAAAAAATTAAAAAAAAAAAAAAGTTTTTCTTTTCTACAGATGGTTGTTCAACTCGTTCACGATATGATCAGAAAAAATTAATACCATCAAATCGATTTGCTGAACTTAACGATTGTACAGAAGCTTATTGGGGTTACTGTCGAAATGGCGGTATTTGTAAGATGACAGCAGATATTTCAGAACGTCTTATACCAGTTTGCTCGTAAGTAATTTAAATTTAAAGTTTTTCTTAGTAAAATAGTCCATGGACAAAATTCAGGAATAGTATTAACAATAGCAACAAAAAAAAAAAGAAAAAAGTGATTAAGATCCGTGAGAATTTTAGAATTTTATAATTTTCTAATCAAATTCTTTTTTCCTTTCTTTTTCCTCAAATAATAAAATTTGCTTTTTTTTTTTTTGTTTTCGTTAGCTGTCCAACAGGATTTCGCGGTCGACAATGTGAACTAATCAACGATCCTAATATTTACTTTTCGCGACAACAAGGTCAAATGGAAATGGCCGCTATGTCGGGTGTTATGGTTGCAATTATATTTGTAATTTTGTTTCTATCATTTGTGCTATATTTTTATAAGAGGTAGGATTTTCATTTTAAAACATTTATAAATAATTGTTTATTATTTGAAATTTCTGAAATAAATGTCAAAATTGAAGTTCGATTAATTAAATTTTAATGATTTATTTGAAATATTAAAATAATTATTAACAAGATATAATTAATATCATATTTAGAAAGATTTCTTTTTTTTTTTCCTTCCCCTTCTCAAACGTTATAGGTTACAGTGTAGTTATTAATATTTGGTTATATAAATAATTAAATTAAAAATTTCTCAAAAATGCCTTTTTTTTTTTTTTAATTTGGCAAAAAAAAAAATGAAAGAATGTTTTTATTTTTGTTTCATTTAGATATATGAAATATGGAATGGAGGGAAATAATTCATTATCAACATTTAATACTTTGGAGCTTTCACCATCGATAAATCAGCAAAAACAAGACTCGGATACAATTATAAACAATGTTGAGGTTACTTTCACTTTCAGAATTGGTATTTAATTCATTTTTTAAAAATTCAATCCTGAAATTTGCATTTAAATTGCTGATATATTCATTTCTCTCCCTCTTTTTTTTATCGTCATCTCATTCGCTTCAACAAAAAATTTAAAATTTCTTAAAATTTGAGAAATGCTAACTGATAATTCAGCTGGGAAATATGTCATCATGCCTTAACATATGAATGCAAATGGAAATATGATGTATATGCTCTATTTATCTTCTGAAAGAAAACTTTCAGTCTTTATAATTATCATTCATTCATTATATCTGTTAATTGTTGAATAAGTGCTAAATTTAAATTTAAAATCATTGAAATTTCTTATTAATAATGCATTTGAAATGAATGACTGTGATGAATTTTTCAAAGAAAATACTTATGCTATTTTATGGAATCATACAACTTTTTATTTTATTTATTTATTTTTTGTTTCTTTTTTTTTAAAAAAAAAAAAAAAAAAACGAAAAGAAAAAAGTAGGAGAGAAAGACAGAAAAAAAAAAACAAATTCACAAAAAGATTATATTATATTTGAAATAGTTGCAGAGAAATGAAATAATGGAAGCACATGAAAAATTATCAATGCACAAAAAATTGGTTGAAAAAATAAATCGTCCAGCGGATGTTTTTGAAATGTTTACATTAACGGGATATCCGGATACGGAATATGATCAACATCGTAATTTATTCAATTTAGCAATAACAGGTCGAAATATGTCAAGCAGAGCAAGAAATAACAATATGATTTTACCAGAAATATGAAAAGAAGATGATGAAGAAGAAGAAAAGAACAACAGCAACAAATTAACAATAACATAAAATGCTAATGTTAAAATATTAAGTGTTAAAATTTAAACATTAAGCAATGTTTTAAAATAATTAAAAGCTGTAGAATAGAGGATTATCTTTTTTTTTTTTTTTTTAATTTGTAAAATTTAATATATGAAAATAAATCAAAATTAGAATTCCAAATTGAAATTATATTTAATTTATCAGAGTTTTTATCGAGAATATATTGTTTGCTATATGATCAAATTAATTTTACATTTTTCATGTAACGAACAATGATTAGCTAATATGCTTGTGATTATTTTCAATGATAATTGATGCATTTTAATATTTGGTTAATTACAAAATTAATCGTTTATTATTATTGCATATTTAGCTTTTTCGTTTGTTCATAATAGACGGGTATTATTTGCATGGATACTCTCATATGCTTATATCAGCGATAATTTTATCAGTACTCGGTGTTACATACATATCTCTTTAAAAATAATCATTATTCAATATAACAGGTGCAATACTTGTCTATTTGATATTTATCAATTTTTGCTGTATTATTTCATTCAATTAGTTCTGCTATTTACCAATTGATTGCTTATAATGCAATTGCATGAACATTTCCGTTGTAATTTAATTACTTCAATTAGATAGCTGTATACGTATATCATATTATGTCAATCATATCATATCATATAGTATCTGCTTGTCTACAATTATTAATTTTGATGACTATCATGTAAAATCGTCCAAGTTACTATATTATTGTGGTGCTAACCATTTCATATTTCAAATTGCTGATAAATTTTTCAAGATTTTAAATGACCTAAAATTAACAAATATACATATAAAATATGCAGCGAATTCTAAAACACTGTATGGATGGATGTAATAAAATATTTGAAAACTAATAACTGAGCAGGTATAATGATTGAAAAATTTTCTCGCGTATAACATCAACAAATTTTATTCTAAAAAATTCAAAACTATGAATGTTATTCGACAAAAAAAAAAAAAAAAAAAAAGGAATTGAGTGCTGAATTGATTTACTAAAATAAAGCTTTAATTTGAATTTTATTGCACTTTCGTATTCGTATGCCATTAATAGAAAACAAATTAAAAGCAAATAAATCTTCGTAGGATTGCTTTATTTATTTATTTATTTTTTGAAAATTTTTGGTTGACATAGATTATTTTGACTTTTTAATTCGTTCATTATAATTTTATGGATTTAATATTCAAAGAAATTTGAAAGCTAAAAATTGGAAATTAAAAAATGACAAAAGGAAAAAACGTTATTATCATTTGCACTGAAATGGGTAAGACTGTGATAACGATTATTTTTATCACAATATATTTATTTTCCCTTTCTTATGAATAAGCTATGAAACTTTTAGTTTTAATTTACGCTGCAATTAGATTTTATTTTATTCGCACACCATTTTTTTCCCATATTGTTGAATGCAAATGGATGCTTTTTTAAAAGAAGACTTAAGAATGTAAAAAAATCTAAATCGTAAAATTTAAAATACAATAAAACTGAAAATTTGGCTGCAATTAACAGCTGATACAATACCAAATGAAGATTTTAATTTCCTTTAAATTCATTTAACAAACTGAAAAAGTCAAAAAATGTATTACTTAAATCTCTTCAAATGAATATTCCCATTTCGATCATTAATCTTTTTCTCTTTCATTTGTTAGTTGCCCCTATTTTTTTTAAAAAAAAATTTTTTTTAGAATTACTTTCAACAGTAATGAATAAAATCATGTATGGGTCTTAAAAATATGAATTCGAATCCAATGACATCATCATTCATTCGATTATTTTGTTTAATTCATTTACTGATTTTACAGATTTTGACCATTTATCTACAATCATAAGATACTATCGTCAAGCATTCCCATAAAATTTTAGAAATATAATCAATCTTAATATACTTCATTCTTCAGCATTAATTGACCTTTAACACTCATATATGAACTCATAAACTTTTGTCAATGCTAATTTATTAATTTTGCCACCAAGCTATGCATGCATGCACACTGCACGCACAGACGTTCGTGAGAACAATGCTTGGCCGCCCACTCCCCTTAAAGCCTAAGATTTTCAGATTTTCATTGTGACACATTTGCAATATTAAGTATAAGATGGATCGTTTTGATACCAATCATAGACCGGATGATGGGGTGGCATTTCTCCAGTCTGAATGTTCCGGTTATTTTCTTGCTCATTTGGGGAAGAATGGGAGATTTTTGTTTCTGGAAGTTAGAGATTAGTAGAGTAGAATAGAGTCCTGTTTTGGCATGATTTGAATCAGGTAGGAAAAAAAGTGAGGGTTATAATGAATGAGTGATTTGATTGGTAAAAAAGTTTACAGATAATTACTTTTTGCAACCAGAACAGTAATTCGGAATAGACTTGTTATAATAATTAAGAAAAAAAAAAACGGAAATGGTTACTGTGATTGATAGAATTATTAGAGTTGTAGTATAACTGTTATAATATTAATGATACGTGAGAATACTGATTTCCGAGTCTTTTATATTCGAGAAGTGATAATAGATTACACATGCTATCCATGTTATTGTATTGTATTTTTGCTGTAAATATTCCGAAATGGCACTCTGCCATTTTTGGGACATATTTATCGTGCTCATTACTTAATAACAAACTTGATTTCATTGTCCATAGTCCTATCTTCCAAGAAGTAGCTAATAACAATAGTGTCATTTTTTCAGTCATCACTCACGAAATCTGTGGATTATATGAATTTTGAAGCCGTGTTTGTTCAGGTTAGTGATGCTTTGGGATTCTTTGAAAGTTATAGTTATAATGGCCAAAGGTTACTGTCGGGATTGTAGCGTTTTTTTTTTCCCAAATATAGAGATACTACATAAGTGAGATAGATTTATTTACCATTGGTTTTGTCTCAGTAAGTAATTTGTACTAGGGAAATATTCTTTTCCATATGCAGCAAATAGACCTGTAAGAGTAATTTCAATATTTCGTCAAAAATTCTAGGAAAATTTTGCCTCTTTAAAGACAAAAAATTAGTGTGATGAAAGTTTTTTTTTTTTTTTTTTCTGTCCCAAGACAATCTTATATTTCCTAAAATATAAGTTTGCATCCCTTTTAGTAACTTTATGATTGAGTTAATTACTTTATTCCGTAATAGTGGTTTCAGAAATGGCACTTCTTGATTTGGATAATATAGTCCCACGTTTGGAAGGAAATTCAATGATTTCGATTCCTCATTACAAAATTAAGGATGGCAAATATGCGGTAAATGTACAGTTTTTGTGACGAAAAAAGTGCAGATCGAACTTATCATTACTAGGAAAAACAATAATCGAATTTTAGGCGGAAATTATTAGTTTGAAGAAATTCAGATGAATTCCTACATTAAAACTTTCGGTAGTTTTTGGCTTCAGTTTTACGTTAAGGCTTCCAAATCTCTATGGTTACTAAATTTTACGAAATTATCAAACGTCCAGTTTTTTATCAGAAATGATTAATAATAGAAATCATCATTTCTTCAAAATAATGATACGTTATACAAGTTAAAGAAATTCCATCATGCACCTTTGTAGGTCTACGTTATTAAAGTGACGATCGATTCAACCGTCTGGACCATAGAAAGACGTTATAGCGATTTTGTAGCATTTGATTTACAACGATTTGTTGACCGCAAGAAATCGTTTCTTCCACCGAAGAAATTTATTGGAAATTTGGTAAAACTTCATCATCATTTTGCTTCTTCATATATGGTGGTGTACATGTGTAATTTTATATTACGAGTTGTAAGTACTAATTTCTGCTTACTTTTGCATTTTTTAAGATCAGATTTTTTATTGAATTAGCTAATCAGATAGTCATAATCAGTGAAATTTTCATTGAACATTTAAATAATGTCCACTGTAAAGGAGAGAGAGAGATGTTCAGTCTCCTAGGACGTGGAATTTCTGGATGAAAGAAGGATTGAACTCGAAAAATATATCCGAACTGTGGTTGAACTTGATCTATGGTTACAGAGAAGGAGGAAACAATATGCCCTTCCGTCGCTGATTGCTCATTTCCTCGATTTCCAGGAATATGTTAGTCATATTCTCATTTTTAAATTTACTAAAAAATTTTGTTCAAGCTAGGTCGGCGTGTATAAGCTGCAGGACTCTTTCTTCAGGACATCGGAAGAAAGAAATGTGCGAATTGTCATATGTGTACGTGAGCCTGCTGAGGGTTTTGAAAGTGGATACAGATGGCGTAAAGATGAAGTACTGTGAATTGGAACGTGGGTTTGAAAAGGTCAGAGTTGTTTTAAGCGCTAAGGTTTGCTGCTTGATGAAGGTTTCCGCGGGTGATGGATGTAGTCGTCATTTTGGTACCACTGCTTCCAGTAGATGAGGACTGATAGTCTGATAGTTGATGTTTGTAACGATATTTTTTGACTTAATATTGCGAGGATTTCATAAATAGTGTAAAGAACAATATTTTTATTACTGTTTTATCTGTACATTCACTCGAAAAGATAAAATTATATAGAGCAGTAAAAATAATATAATGGTAATACTGGTGAAGGTGTTGGTAGTAAAAAGTTAAGCAGTGGTATAAATGTGGTAGTTTAGTTGTTAATCATTCATTTTCAGTATCTTTTCGAAGTATTTATAGTTAGTAGCAAGAATAACTAGTATTACATATTCTGGCTTTTACTATAATCCAAGCTATTCAGGATTTTTTCTGTTTTTCATTGTTGTTATATATATATATGATTTTCATTAAAATCACATTGCTTATTCTTGATCCTGAATAGCTCTCATTAGCATGTATGGTCAAAAAATAGAAAGTTGGGGACAAAAGTTGAGAAACAAAACCTCTCAGTTATCATCATCATTAGTTGCCCCAGGGGCAGTAAGCTCCCCTCGAGAACCACTAATATTTTTCTTATGTCGCCAGTACTGCAAACGAGTCCATACATCCCTGACTGCTAAGTAAATCATTGCAACGTTCTTTATCATCAGAATACTTGCATCGTAGTGTTTGCCATGTGTTGTTATTTCCAATAGCACGTAAAGGTAGATGCGTATTCCAAGATACGGTGCATTTACCTGTAAATCGGGAGAGTTTCAGAGATTTCCGTTTTTTAATTTTATTTGAAGCAGGAATAACTTATTATATTTTACAAATTTTTCGCTAAATGAAATTAAATTAAATTAAATCATACAGCAAAAAAAAAAAAAAAAAAAACTTTACCATTAAGACGTAGATGAGGGACCAGATTTTTTCACTCACAAGTGCAAAGCGTGGAAGACGGCGTCCGAAACGTAAGCGTATCAACGTGAAAGCTGGCAAAATCAAGTTGACGCATGAGAGTAGGAGAATAGTTATGTCAAGCCAGAACGGCAGATCCCAGTTGTTTTTCTAAACTGTTTCGAATTAAGTAAGTACTTAAATGCAATTCAGGAATCAGTTTTCATTTTTTTTTGGATTGTCGGTATTATGATTCCTATAGTTTTTTAGATAATATACTTTACTTTTACGTTAGAACGGTTCAGATAATTAACGAAATAGTAGATAAACTTTGTGCAGTAATTAATAATTCAAGATTATTGTCCGATTTTGAATTCGGATGAAAATTATGAGCAAAAAAAAAAAAAAAAAAAAAAAAATGTGATTTTAAACGCAAAGAACTTACGAAAGATTGCCAGAGCAAATCGAGGAAGCAAATGGTATCAATCAAGTCAAAAGTTATAGTAGTCATAAGGTAAATCAGATATAACTGTCGGTTACTGCTAACTGTTGTGTAATGATGCGACTCAAGCAAAAGTATGAAAATGGGTGCACTAAGTGATAAACCCAAACGGAACAGATGGTCGTCCAGAATTTTGTCATGTGAGTCAGTTTTCGTTGGTGGCAACTAAAATATAGATCAGCTCAGAAATTCAATCTTTTAAGTTAGAAATGGGTTGTTTGGAATAATTAAGTTAAATTTTATATTAATCCAGCTGTTTTTTTTTAACAAAAAGGCTATCAGATTAACATTGATTACATACCTGAGTATGGAAAAGACGGAAGCAAACAGCTACTTTTCCAGCCAGAACAATTGAATACAAAAACCATCCGATCCATGTGTATTTGACTTTAGCATCTTAAGTACCTCAGTAAATTTTCAATTAAATAGTCTGATTTGTCTTTATAGTAATTCAAACGGTCTTATTAAGTACTGCTACTGAGTGAGTGGAACTAAAAAGATACCTGCAGAGCAAGCATCTTCCATATGTTGTTGATTGTTTCGTACCACTATAACAAGGAGCCATATGAGGATAACAATGACGAGTGAATCGGCTCCTATCCAGGTATACCAGATATTATCCTTCAGGACAGTTAAGTAATAAAAGTCTAGAAGGCCAAATTGTAAGATTACAAGCGCCAAACACAGGATGAAGAGAAATACGTCAATGCATCCACGCAAATAACGATCTGCAAGTATAAGTAGTTCTTCATATCCTCCTTTCAAAAATTTTCTTAAATTTAAATATTCAGGAAATATCTTTAGTTACTGGCATATTCTATTTAAGGAAAACCTCTTAAATCAAAAATAGAGATCAATAATATATTGTTGATGCATTAGCAACATTGCCGTCATACAAATTTAAAATATGGCGCCGCTTAATTTTTAGAATTAAAACAAATTCAGTGAATTTTGACCTGATCTGCATGCTTCTTATTCATGAGGTCTAAGTTTATATATATATATATATATATATATAGCTGTGAATTCACCGTTGACATCAGAACTGTAGTAATGCTATCATAATTTTAATAGCGAATTATTGATAAGCTCCAATAATATTTAGTTCAAAAGGTTGAAAAATGTCTCATTCTTGATATTGACGACTACTTACAATTGTATTGAAATTAGTTATTTTATCTAGAAATGAAATGAATAATGCAATGAGCATACTTGGTGTGACACTCATCTTCGCTGGTGACGCTGCTGAAATAAATCGTGCGTTATTGTTGGAAGTGAATTTTTCAGGAAGAAAAGTCTCCCCTAATATGCCTGAATAGAAAGATTCGTGAGGAATGCGCTCTTCCTCGTTCTCCTCGATGGCCTCTTCAATGGCCTGGCGCTCCTCCGAAATACTCTGATTTTCTACAAATCCTGAAGTATGCACGTTAATGAGAAATCAGAGATTGGACGATATAAGAGTATGAATAGTTGTGAAGTGTTGCTTGTCAAAAATGAGTGATCAAAATTTTTTAGATGAAAGAGGGAAGAAGGAGTTGTGAATATTCTCCTTTATTCCTTTTACTAGGATAATTTCGGTAAACAAGAAGCATAAGTGATTAATTTATATGGGGAGGCGTAAGGATCGGGGGGTTTATTTAAAGTGCTTGTTAAGCTGTGCTTGAAGGGATGAAAATATGGAAACTGGGCATGAGAGATGGTTCGAAAGTGCTTTTTATTTGACCTGAATTTGACATTATTTACATGTGTCAGGATTTATCTTTCATTTTTGTTCGGTACAAAAATTATCTATTAAAAAAAAAGATAATCGTATAATTAGGATATTTTAATGCTAGAGCACGGTCTTGCCCCAAGGATTTATGATTTTTTCTTTTTTTTTCTCATCCTTATGTTAATCAGAAACATAGCATTTCAAAGGTTTCAATGATTCCAGACTATTGAGAGCAAGGAAGTTCTTTTTCCCTTCCTGTAATATGTTGTTCTAAGTTAGACAAATATTTACTGTGGTCTGTAAGGAATTCATCCTGGCATATGCATGAACAAAGGCGTGATGTTGTATCGGATGTCATTTCTCACAGAAAAAAAGCTTATATTCTATAGTTCTTTCCATGTTCCAATTTAATTAACGGGTAAAAGTCTTACGAATATTACGGGCATGAAACCAATCTATGTTTATCGTGACACATAGATCATGCAATCAAAATGCTTAATTAGGACTTAAGAGACGGGTTTGGTACTAGTTTCATTATTCTTCCGATCTAAAATTATAAGGTTATAAATTCGGTAAAGATAACCTGCTGTTGGTTTCTGGGTTTAAAAATATCGCTAATATATGAATATAAAAGGAGATATATACATGGTTGCTAACGAGATCGATTAATTCTATTCATGGTCACAGAAAGAGTTCTACTGTGAGAAATAGGTCTAAGCTTAGTTACAACATATGTGTAATTTAATAGAAAATGGAGTGAGAGTATCGGAGATTAGCCGGATCTTTGGGCGTCAGCTGTGTGCTATTGTCCATTAGAAGCGGTTCACATTAAATAAAGCATACACTATTCCTGGTATTCTCTTCTCTAAGCATCATAGGTTCTAAGGAAGACTAGTGGTGCAGTAATTTTACCATTCATCGCAAGTGTAAGTTGGTCTTGCATTAATATAGACCTAAATAGTGTACTGATATGAAAATTATATGCAATCACTATTCTGAAATTGTGGGAGTTGTAATTTGCTTACAATTTTGAACATTATTATTATTATCATTATTATTGTCTGAAGTCCAAACAAGTGAATAAAATTTAGAGGTTTTTAGAAAGTTAATTCACGAAGCCATATGAGACAGGAATTTGTCAACAACATTTCGTCACGAGGATTTAAGGCATACATGACAAAACAAACACATTAGTTTCCTGAAAAATCAGAAGTGTTTTCAACAAATCTAGAGCTAGTTTTTAAAGCAAATTGTTCTTTTTTTTATCTATTTAGAAAGAGGAGGGAATACAATTGAAATGTAACACATGAAAATGGATAAAGTTTATGAAATTAAAAGATTAGTAAAGAACTAGAGAAGCGTCTCTTAACTTTCATTTCACTTTATCACTGTTATACCTAATCTTTCAAACCTACTTCATTATAGTTTTATGTTAGCAAAACAAGAACAATTATACAAAGCTTGATTAAACTAGTAACTCTCAGCAATTTTGATAACTGTTGGAGGATTTAGCGGAACAAATTTTAAAGTTAATTTAAAAAGTATTTAAATAAATTACTTAATTTAAAATAATGTAGTCACAACAATATGATTACTATTACTACTAGTAAAGACAGAGCGAAATAGAGCTTATGTTCGATGATTAACATATAGTTAATGAGGCAGTGTTGAGCACCCACCACCACGGTAAACATCCACAAACATTTGTTTGCTTGTCTACTTGAAAGGAATATCATTTCTTCGGCATCCTACTTTATTAGTATACATCTATATCGGTGTATATATATATTATATATGTGTATGTATGTATGTATATATGCATATGTGTGTGTCTACGTGTGTGTGTGTGTGTATGTTTATGTATGTGTACGTGTATGTATGTTGTATACGTACCTATGTATATTTGTTTATATATAAAATCCACTTAAAATCAATTTATGATTGATCGTAAGAAGAAATTTTATTTCCTGAAATTTTACTATTACAGAACTTCTAAATTTCATCCCTCTCTCAGATGTAAACTATAACATTTTATAATGTATATAGAGTGATTGTTGTTATTTTTTCTTTTCTGCATTAGCATTCCAAATTATGAATCCAAAATATCTACTTTTTTTTTCTACCCTTTTCTAGATCCACAATAATCAATGCTTGCACAATTAGTTTACAGCTAATTATAAAATGAAAATTTGATATTTTGTAGCATGATTATTCATTGTCAAATGTATGAGAGTGAAGAAAAAGAAATAACTGTTAGTTATAGTTTAGGAATTTTCTTGAGTTTGTACAACAAATTTTTATGACTGATGAACTGAGGGTTTTTGAGTTTCCTAGAATGTGAGGATGGATTAAGTTGAGGAAACTCAAATATATCGAAATTTATAGATAGACCTAAGTTAAGAATTCAATTATGTATTGCACAATCATACTTGCTGTTATTAATATCACCAGATTACAAAATTATCATGTAACAAACCATAAAGCAAACAAAAAATTATAGTCATTGCACTATTCAATGAATAAATAGGGAATGAAAATATGTAATTTTTCTAAGAAAATATATAAAATAATTTTTCTATGTTACAATTTTTCCATCAATCCATTAAAATATCATTTATAGTATATATATTATCCATGAACTTTATGCAATCCCAGGAGCGTGAAACGTGAGGAGAAAGTAGAAACTATGAAGGCTTATTATGGTGCAGTGAGGTGAGTGATCAAGATGAGATAAATTGAATATTGTGGAGAAAATTCTCGAGAATCAGATGAGAGAGGTTGTGGGAAACGAGATCAGTCTCTTCGTCTCTCTCTTATTCTCTCTTAGCACTCACCAATACTATGTATGCCTGCCAAGCGGTATCCCCGTGACGACATTATAGGTTGTGTATATATCGCTAAGTGCTTTTAATATGCGACAAACATTTTACCCCGTATTTATACCATGAATTACTGATGTCAATGAATAAGCGAGCTTGTGCACATGTATATGTATGTATGTGTGTGTGTATGTGTATTCCACAGATCTTACCGTGTGAGCATTAGCGTTTGAATTGTTTACGAGTTTGAAATGATGTCTGAACCTGCAGCTACCGGTCATTTGTTCATATATCTGTCTGCTCACTTCTACTCGCATGAATGAATGAATAATGATGATGAATGTTTGAGTAGCTTGATGATGGGCACTCTTCAAATCTACCATCATTCAATGCCATCATTAGTTGGCACCTACCTTTATTGTCATAGATGTAGATGATGATGATGGTGCTCATGAGGAGGACAAGGTGAAATCTATTTTAAAATCAATTCGATTTCACTGTAAGTGTGACTTTTAGGATATGAGATCGAAATTAGAAAATCCGGATAATGGATTTCTGGATGAATCATTATGAGAAATATTCATTGATATTGCTATAATCTAAATTGCTTTAAATGTATGCATGCTTTATTTGAGTTGATAAATCATAATAAGTCGTCGCAATTAGCGATGGATTATGTGGAGGAGAATTAGGTTGACTTTATCAAAGAAAAATTATTAATGAAATACGAAATGAATTAACTGTTAATCAATGCGTGGATTAGGTGAAATGAATGAATAATTTAAATGAAAAGTAATTTAAAGTGTGTGCAATAAAAGGAAACAGATAGGAGTAAAGAAAATTTACATCTTAAATTTCGAAAAAAAAGCCAACTGTGGAAGAATTCCTCCTATGTGGAGGTTGAATTTTTAATGAGAAAACGGAATGGATGATCTCGAATGGGACTAGCACATATTTATCTGTAATAAATTGGTACAGTTGTGTGAGTATGATAGAAAAGATAGTTTGGATTCAAAAAAAAAAAGAAAAAAAAAAGCTTTAAAATTGCGATATTAATATGGGACGAAAGCTAAGCTGTTTTGAATATATGACTGCTCTTTTAATAATTAATGAATGAAACGAAATAAAAAGTTTGAAATGGTACTGTAAGTAGAGTTATCTATAGATTAGTGACAGAGGGAAAAAAAAAGTCAAGGTCCACCGAGTTAAAAAAAGAACCCAAAAAAAGCCTTTTTTTGATTTTTAAAGAGGATTGTTTCCTGTCGTACTTGTCTCATTACTGTAATTTTATACTAGTAGTAGTTTATTACGTATCATTTTCTTGGATAAGAACAATGAAGTTCGTTCATGAATAGGCATAAATTATATCGAACAAAAGAAGAAACGAATAACGTTAATAGAAGCACGTTTACGTATAAGTATCTGGATGGAAGAAATCGTTGGGATAATGCAGTTTGAACAGGATGGGGCACATTCATGCAATAAACATATCTATCATCAACATCTCGGTGCAATTGCAGACTTCCTTTAGGATTTTAATCAAATTTGATGTAATTGATGAGAGAATGGATTAGTTTGGATAGCTTTGGATGGAAATAAAGGAAGGGAAAAGAGAAAGAAGAATAGAAATGAACATATATATTAGTTATTTCTCAACAATATATAACATTTCAGCTAATAAATTAGCAGCGTAGTAGATAGATAAATCTTGGTTATTTCATTAAAGAAAACAAATTTTTAAAATTTCTTAAAGTTTAGTAATTTTAAGGATCAATTATTTAATTTTAAATTTGAGCAACACATGATTTTGCACTAAAATTGTTGCGCTAATTTGTGAATCGAACTAGAGTGTAAAAGCAGATGTAAAATTAAACTTTTTGCTAATTTGTGTATATTTACTTGCTTAGTGATATGTGATTAGTGAAATAAAGTTGCAATTGTAACAAAGAGAGAAATATTGAAGTTGTTTACAAATTTTTTATTTATATTATTACTACAAATTTTGGATAAATTATGGGTAATTATTTAGCAATGCATAAATTAACATTTTACTATCCTAAATTAATTACAAATTTAAAACAATATTATAGACATACCTCCATCAATATTAAGCGTCACAATAGCAGGTGGCTTCTTTATGGTCATTCAAATCGGTCGTCGAAGTTTTATTGCTCCCGTTGGGGGGATGAATATTATGATGACGATGGTAAACGGAAATGATGGTGGCAGCAATTGGTAGGAGTAAAAATAGAAGTAGGAGTAAGAAAGAATACTGATAGTAGTAGTTAGTAGTAGTAGTAGTAGTAATATAATAGTGAATTTAGGGTTTGACAAAGAAGCATAGAGAGCCGTGCTTGGTTTATTGAGATCAATATAGTAGCAGAGTTCGAAATAGCACAACAGAATAAAATGGAAGTGTGAAGGAGTAGAAATGTTGAAATGGATGGATATAGGGAAGGGAAAAAGAAGAGAGGTGGGGACAAGCATCATGCTTGAGATTTGACCCAGAAGTATCTAATTAATTATTACAATTGTTTATAGGGTATACATATATTAGTTAAAGAAGAAGAAAAGAAAAAAGAAATAAAATGAAATAAAATTGGGAATGAAATTTTGTGAAATAAATTGAAGAAAAAGATGAAAAGATTTAACACTTATATTATTACATTGATAATAGCTATGTAATTTGAATCGAAAATTTTTAGCTTACACTTTTGCTGCTGCTAAATGTGATAACACATTACATAGTAAAGTTTAAAGTAACTGCATGAAGTATCTAAACATTCCATGCTAATAAAATAATTTGAAATTACTGCTATTATTATTGTGTTATATTACTGCATTATATTTGGTTAATGATGGAATATTTTCTAGAATTTTTTATCTTTTCATCTTTAATTTCTAATAACACTTTGGGGAGTAATACAATAGTGAAGGAAAAGAACAGGAGGTAAATATTCATTGAAATGCTAATAGGTAATCTATAAGTTTAAAATATTCTAATTGTTTTGTTTTGTGTCTTCCTTCATTTCAGAACCCTTATTATGCTTACCTCTCTCTTTTTTCCCCTTTTCTTTCATTCTCTTTCTTTTTCCGTTAACGTGAAACAATGTAATTTTTGTTATTCTATCTCCAAGCATTAAAGAATGCTTGTGAAGTCTGATTAGTTTGTCTTCGGGACACTTAATCCTAATGAGGAAGTGCTCTCAGAATAATAATCTGAAATTTTGATTGAGCTCAGTTCTGTAGCATTTGGAAAGCGGAATATTGGTAATTCAAAACAAGTCATTTGGGATTACTTGAATGAAATCCGCAGTTTAATAAAAATAACACAACGACCAGTTTAAGCAAGTGCTATTATTTATTTTATTATAAAAAGCACGATTTCTCAATACTTCAATTTTATTAATTCTCGCTGATTCCAGCAAAAAAAAAAAAAAAAAAAAAAAAAAAAAAAAAAAAAAACGGTTGGGAAGAATTTAATAGGTTTTTGAATTTTGAATAGATATGAAATAATTTCGCATTCACTGAGAATTTGTTGTTAATGGAATATGTATAGTTGAAAAAGTGGACGGAAATATTGTGAAAGAAGAAATTGTCTGAATGTAATAGTGATTGATTAAATATGATGTATTACATATGCTGCTGTCATTAAGCATTGTGCTTTCATATGCATGTCAGAATTTGAAAAGATAAAACCTCTCTTTATGAATCCCGAATTAAAGAATTCAGAGCTAGTTACTAATAATTGGATAAGTCAGAACGGTTTTTTTTTTTTAAATTAATTATCAATGTTTTAAATTATCAACGTCTAGATTTTAGCTGGTTTTCAAGATTGCCAAATTTATAATTTGAGATATTGTCTTCATTATATAATAGAGGGAGCATTTCAGTATTCATTATTTCGATTAACTATTAATAGGTCAGATGGTGGTTTACTGTCATTTTCTTTTCAGACAAAAATTGAAAAGTAGATTTTTTCTTCTAATGTTTGCAAAAACTTTTTTGCCAGCATGAAATATGCTTTAGAGAGGAAGATTCAAAAGACTCTGGGGAAATTGAAATGTTTTCCTGAATGAGGGTAAACTCCAAAAGAAAGGAAAAAAATGAAAGAAATAAAAAGCCTTTTGAGAGTTTAAGAATTTGTTAATAACGGATCACCAAAATTCACTAAAAGAGGACCTTTTCTTCTTTAAATATCAAGAAAATTGTCTTTTCATTTTCTCTACTTTTACACTTGATTTATTCCTTTCATTAAATAATATTACTCAATGTTGACCTTATCATTAATCAATTTGATGGTTTAGCACGAAGATTTGTGTGATACGTCACACCATTGTTGTAGTGCATCACTTGTTCTTTTTTTTTCTCGCATTTGAAGCCAAACAGTAATCATTTTTAAATTCCACTTTCTCGAAAACTCAAATTTTGAAAAAACATCAACTGAAATTTCAAAGTGTTATTTCAATTAATGTTCACTAGTAACTAAATGATCGAGGATTATAATGCACATATCACTGAGAAATACTTTTCCAGGAAGTGCATGCAATTGTTGAAGATCTTTCGCTAAAACTTGGAACATCTGGTGAAAAATGGTTACAATCAGCAACAAAAAAGCCGAAATATTTCGAATTTACACCGGTCGAGCTCTATGCAATCACAGAAAGAATGAAATTAGCTGAACCAACAACAAATGGCACGTTATTTTTTTGATAACAAAATTTTTTTTTTTTTTTGTCATAGTTTTCCGATTCATGATGTGCTATGTAGTAAGAAAAGAATAGGAAGAATATTGAATTAGTTAGCGTTTTTCTTTTTTTTTTCTTCGAAAAAAGCACTTCTTCCCAAAGGAAAAGATTGCAAAATTGTTTTCATGAAAGGAACTATATTCTTCAAGAAATTGATGTAAATCAGATTTTTATCTTTGAGGTGACGGGAAAACGGATGTTGCAAATTATGTAGAATTTTTACATAATGTTCGAAATTTAAAAGTTCGAGGTGCTCGAGGTTATGTCGGTACATCGAATATCATATGGAATTCCTTACCATTTGGTCTTAATCTATGCAAAAATATCACAGCATTATGGGTAGGTTTTACATTAGTAACAGTTTTTTGAATATAAAAACGATATAAATTATGAGTGAATCTTCAGTTGATTGGTATATTAACATCTGCAAAAGTTTCAGATAAGCGATTTTGATGTACGCATGATTCATGACTTATATTCGGTGCGTAATACATGTAAACGGGTCGTCATCCATTATTCCATGAAAAAACTTTCAGTTAGTTTTGTTTCTCAATTCAATTAATCGGTTACCGATATTCATCTGAGGATTATAATTCCTGTCATGGTTGTGTAAGGATAAAATAATAGTTACATCTGTCGATTTTTCTGAATCATGAGTGTATTTTTTTTTTTTAAAGGATTTCTTCCTAGAACCCAATGAGATGTTGCCATTTGAGAATCAAGAGAAATGGTCTTCTCTTGAAGAAGTTGATTTTTCATTCAACGAACTTGAAGAGATTGATGAAAGCATTGTAAGTTTCAAAATTTTCTTACGAAAAACAGTTAGCGTAATTTTGTATTTGTGATTCGATCAGTGATTTTTGAACCGTCACCTTGTTTCAGATGACAACTTAATTTGATTTATCGAATTTATCTTTTTGAGGATTTCATGTAATACTATTCAGATTTAATTTTCAGAGTTTGTTAAGTTTGGTAAGGAAGATGAACTTATCGCATAATCTTCTGCGAGGTATTGGAGATCACTTGCAACATCTCACAATGTTAACTGAACTTAATGTTTCACATAATGCTATTGAAGATTTGGATTTATGGTATATGAAACTGGGTAATGTAAAACGCTTGTATCTTGTTGGCAACAAAATATCTGCATTGAATGGTATCTTTACTTAGATTAGTTAGGTGAATAAATTATAATCATGCTTAGTATAATTTCTAGAATTATAAACTTGCGTGAATAGTGCTTTATTTATTTGTTTATTTATTTTTTATTGATGACTATTATTTCGTAATTTCATTTCTCCTTTAAAAGTGATTTGTTTTTACAGGACTGCATAAGTTATATTCCTTGGAGTTTTTGGATTTAACCGATAACGTTATTGCTTCTCCCGATGATATTCGAGCAGCTGGTATTCTCCCTTGTTTAGATCATCTAATTTTGCGGGGCAATCCAATCCGACAAGTCATTGAATACAGAATAAAAGTTCTAGAGCACTTCGGCGAACGAGCTATTGAGGTTGTTGATTTGATTCGAATTTTCATTAAAAGAATAAAAAACGAATGTTTTTCTGCATAAAAGTTTTCAAAAAAAAAAAAGATTAATCAAATATATATGAACATAACTTGCTATCTGGCCACTGAGTGGCCAAGTAGTTCTCATGAATAGGATGTGACCACCATTAGCAAGTGCAGTTTGTACGTGTGCTTGGACTTGATTAGTTCTAAATACCGTTTACACTTAATTGTTTAGAATATTGTAGGTGAAATTGGACAGCAGGAAACCTGATCAACGTGAAGTGGATACGGTAGCAGTTCGTTTAGCATTACGAAAAGCACGAGAAGAGAAAGAAGAACAGACTCGAAAAAAAGCATTGGGAATCGATGAAAGAACGAAGTTAAACTTGAAATTTTTTTTACTTCTTGGAAAATTTTTCTAGCATTTAATTCTTGGAAGATTTCCATGATAAGAATTAGAAAATATTTTTACTATTTATGAAACCATGCAGAAATTATCGGTAGCGGAATGAACAATTATTGCCATGAAATTAGATCTTTCACTAAACTAATTCGTGGACCAAAAAAAAAAAAAAAGAAATTTTTATTGCAGATATTTATCCGACAAAGATATAAACTCTCCAATTTGTTCACTATAAGGGATGATCAGATTCAAACGAAGTTCTTAATATTACATTACGAAAGTATTACTTATTTTGTGGTACAACGTTGAAAGTATTTAGATTATTATTTGTCCCACAGAATTTATTTGATTTTTATATTTTATTCGTTTTATCATGTCTTTCATGTATAATGCAGAAGAATAATTTTTGTTCCCTTTATTCAGAAGTTTTTTCTTTCGTGTTCTTTGTTAAATATTAAAAGAGATGATGAGTTAAGTAAATGCATCATTTACTGTACTTATTTCTTATTTATATTTTTCTATTTCTTACCTTTTCTCATAAAAGTAACATCTCATTTTACTAATTCAGTTGGTAGGTGAATTCGCAATAGTTTTTTTTTTTTTTTTCCTAGGACTTATGTTTGATCATGTATACTTTATTTTTTGTAACTAAATTCTTTCCATTATATGGAATATCTAAATAATCTGGGTATTTTGGTGATGGTTTGGATGAAACAAGCAACGACATGTTAAGTTATTTTTTAAATGATTAATCATCTTTTGGAAGTTTTTTTTTTATTCCACATTATATATAAAAATGCTTGTATTAACTCTCATTGTGTTATCATGTATCGGTGTATTATATATGCATGGATATAGGTCGGTAAAATGTGCATAAAGTTATATTTTTGGATAAAATTATAAAATTATCACAGTAATATCATAATCAATTATATATATCTTCGAATGATTATTTGTAGAGATGTAACTGATATCACGAAGACATTACTTGTCTACAAATTTGCTAAGTTTGAAAGACTAATTCATTAATTCAAAAAATCAAGTAAATTGATACGCTATGTAATCACATGCTCAAGTAGTAAGCGAAACTTGATGATTACATTGCGGTATTTAATAAATGTTTTAAAAATAAACAATTTGCGCTTTATTCCGCCTTTGTATGATTGATAGTCCATAAGTGATACTTAATATATCATAAACTCATCAATCTTAATGCATGTAGAACGGGGTTGAAAAGTAAGACTGAATGTACCATTTATGGTTAGATTTATTAATTGTTTTAATGTATAAATCCAAAGATTTTAATTCTTATTTATCTTTATTTAAGATTTAATTTTTAAATCATTATTGGAATATTATCATAATATTTATAGATTTGTCCCTCTATAATTCCTCTATCCTTGTTGCTGCTATCGATGCCTTTCTTCAAATTAGTAGTACTACTGCTCCTGTCATCACTGATAACCAATAGTGATTGTTTTTTTACTATGATATTGAATCAACGACTTATGATAGAAATTTTGAAAAGATTTCCATTACATATGTGAAGCAAGAAATTATTAATTTAAATTCTATTGTCTTTAAATTTTAAACTAACTTTTTTAAGTAAAGTTATTTCTTTTATTGCTTACTTAAATTAGATGTAAAGAAGAGTTAAAGTTTGTACTGCATCAACAATTTTTGCTGAAAATGTAATCGTTGGTTGGTAGTGCTAATTGATGAATGTTATGGATGATATTATAGGAATAAAAATTAAATTCTTTGGAAATTACATTGTTAAGTGAGAAAATTTTAACTTGATATAATCCGAAAAAATGAATTTTAATTCTGTGATTTTAGGTTAATAATTATCATGATTAATTATTTATTTAACATAAGCTGTTATCTGACTACAAGCAAATTATACATTAGTCATAAACCGTTTTTCCTGAAACGCTTTGCAACATGACTTTAAATTGTCTTGTTTAATTAAGTTTTGTAATTCAGGTCGGTTATTGCTATGCGCTAAACCTTTGAATTGTATATGTTGCACTTCTTACTACAATTATCTAGATGAAATTTGACAAATTCTTATTATATTCTAAAAATTCATCCATAAATAACGATTGAATGAAATTTGGATCTATTGAAATCTTTCTAGTTTGATTACTAATCTAAAATGAAATTAGTAAACATAAAAATTATAATAAAATGATAGAAAATTCATCCAGTTTGCAATTCTTAAAAAATAATTTAAATAATTTATGAAAATTTCCTGATGATAAAATACATCAAAAATTTTTTTAGAATATACATCAAATAAATTTTCAGCAAAGAATTACAAACCAGGTAACATTTAAGAAAGAAATGAAGAATACCAATAATTTATCAGGTAATTTTCATTTTCATTTTTATAAGATGAAATATCACGATTAAGGTTGCAATTGCTATTGATGATACAGAATGCATGATGGTTTGTTTGATTTTGTATTTGAGAATAGATTTGCTCCCGTGAGAAAACATCACCTCATCAATTATAAGGCGGTCTTCGTCAGTCAGCACCGTAACTGAGTAAATAAAAGCTTTTACCTCTTTGTTGATGTATTCACATTGCGCCAACTTGTTACTACACTTTGTTTCATATATAGAAATTTTGAAACTAAATAATTCAAAAAAATTCCAATGTATATTAATTCAAAAAAAAAAAAAAAAATATTATTACCATCTTAAACTCCAAAAAAAAGAAAAAAAAAACTTTTTTTTTTCAAACAAACAAAATATGATTTATTTATGGTAGAGCATTTTTGAGATAAAAAAGATTAACTAATTGTTATGAAATTAATTTGGAATTCATTTTGATTCTAACAAAATTAATCATGGATGTTTAACTTTCAAATAAGTTCTCCTGTTGAAAATTTAATTTAATTATAGATATAAAATTTGTTCTTGTAAATGGAAATTTGACATGAAACCGTATGAAGTTTATTTTAGAATGAAAATTGTTCATCATAAATCATAAAAATGAAAAATTTGTCCTAAAGATATATATATATATATATTATATATATATAATATATATATATATATATATATGTATACTTAAAGGATCGATCAGGTTGGCCTATGTTTATTCCGGTCAAGTTTTCAGTATATGACATTCCTTGATCCATATAATCCGCTATGCAAATTTTCCTCATCAGTAATTAACTTCTGTGACAGTTCCGTTATATGTGATTAGTTTAACTTATTAAACAAAAATATATTGTTTTCAGCAAAAAATTATAATTTCAATCAAAACTATAATTCAAAAAGAAAAGAAAAAGAAGCTAAAACAATGCAAGAATGATTAAATTTTTTTTCTTTTAATCAAATAAATCAATTAAAGAATATAAATGTGCCATAGCTATAATGTAAATAATATTATTTTGTTTTATTAGTTTTACTAATTCAACAATTATAATGACAAATAATCGAAAGTAATTTATCAATTGTACTAATTTAACAATTACAATACGACTAATAAAGACTATAATTCAAAGAGAAACTATAATTTCAATAATTCAAAGAGGAAAAAAAAACGAAGGCTGAAACAATGCAAGAATAATCAATTTTTTTTTTCTTTTTTAAATCAGAATTACCTGCAAAACAAGGATAGACCAATTTATCAATTCGAATAATTTCATTTTTTCAAGAGGAAAGAAAATTGTTTTGAAAATAGTTACATTTTTTATTTATTCTTCTCTCCCATTCTCTTTTTTTTAATTTAAAATATTACAAAACAAAAAAAAAAAAAAAAAAAAAAAAAAAAGAAGATAGCCCCTAAATGTTAATATCACCTGTAAAATGACAATAATAAAGCATGAAGTATGTTCTGCTAGTCTACACTTTACTATTCTTATATGTCACATAAGTCAGCTGTGATTTCTTTGCTACCATATTAACACCAACTTATCATTAAAAGAGATATGAAAGAGAAGAAATAAGGATGAAAAAGAGAAAAAGAAGAGAGAGGGAGAAAAAAAGATTAGTTAATTATATGAAAAAAAAAAAAAAAAAAAGAAAAATTAAAATATGATACTATTTACTTAATAATGAAAAAAAGAAAAAACAATGAAAACTTTTTCAATCTTAATTAAATTGTAAAATTTTTTGCTAATTATTAATTACATTCAAACAAAAAATAAAGATTAATCCAAATAAATGAGACTAAAAATTTTAATAAATTTAGCAAAAAAAGAAAGAAAAAAAAAAAAAAAAAGAGAAAAAAGAAAGAAGATAATAACAACAAAGAAAGAGTAGCCGGATAAGGTTAAAAGACGCGCCTGTTCATTCCTATCTATTGAGACAGATAGCATTTATATCCCAACCAGAAACTTCTAAATCACAAATGTATGTGTGTGTGTGTGTGTGTGTGTGTGTATGTATGTATGTATGTATGTATGTGTATTCATGTGGCATGTTAAAGAGGTATTAGATCAATGTATAGTTCAAGAGTTGAAAACCTCCTGACGCCATCAGTCAACAGATCATTTTCTTCTTCCTTATTTCTGTCCACTATAAAAAAAAGAAAAAAAAATGCCATTCAATTTAGCATTCATATTACATACGCCTGTTTCATACGTATGTTTTATTCACTTTTTTTTTTTTTTTTAAATTTATTTCTATTTTTAGACTATTTTAGAGCAATAATTTAGAAAAAAAAAAAAAAAAAACAAAAACGATTTATCTCTATTGTATTATTTATTTATTTGTTTGTTTGTTTGTTTTTTTTTTTTTTTTTTTTTTTCATACAACGATTATTAGAGAATGAAAAAAAAAAAAGAAATGAAAAAAAAAAAAAAAGAATTGAAACTTTTTTAATAAATGATTCAACGAACTTCATGTTATGCTACAGTCACCCTCACTCAAACATACTTTCGTTTTACACTGTACGTTGAAAAATGTTGAAGAAAGAAAAGATGGAAACGAAAATTTAGAAAAAAAATTATATAAAATTTAGTATTAAAATACAATATTTGTTTTGCTTACCTTTTTTCTTCTCTTTCTTCCTCTCTTTCTTTCTCTTTTTTTTTTTTTTTTTTTTATAACAAAATTTCAATTATTTCCTATTTTTGAGCAATAATTTTATTCAAAAATAAAATAATTAGTCTGAAAAAAAAAAAAAAAAGACGAGAAAACTTGATGAAATAATAGCAAATATATACAAATACGAATAATAGATCATAATATTTATTCATTATGTAAAAATTTATTTTA